CCCCAAAACCCCAAAACCCCATAATGCATGAGATTTGAATGTTGGAAATTCCCTCAGAGCTTCGGTGGAATAGCTATTATATGCTAATTAATTATCAAGGGGAAATATACTTATATATGTATCCAAGTTATTTGGCAAAAATTTAGAAATGAGAAGAATCATGGCTTTAAATCGTGGCTTAATCTCACTCATGAGCGTTTTTCAATACTTTCTGTACTATGTCCCTTTGAATTTTATCTCAGTCTGAACCCAAATCTGTTGAATTATTAATCTTGACTTTGATTTTAACTATTATTTGTGTTATTATTCTATTTATTATTAGAACTAAGTAAGAGGCTGTTTTTACTATTAATCCTTGAGGAATCGATTGGGTTACCTCGGGGCCACTCAACTTTATCGATTTCCTAAATAAGTAAATCTTCATCCTCTTCTGCAAAATACTACTTCTGCTATGAATCCTCAGCCTTCTAGACTGGTGAAATGTCAGGCTACCTTTCCGTCAGAATGGTATTTGGTAAATTATTTTAATAGTGTCTTTTAGCATCGACCTTATAAGAAAAATCTTAGTTTTAAATAGTGTCTAATCTTATGTTACTAGTTGGGCCTTTTATATTGTTCAGTTTTGATTAATGCAGATTCTTTTCTGCCCTATTAATCTTCTCTTGAATCTCAGAATCCTCAAACTGCTTTTTGTTAATCTATCCTCTCCTTTGGGTTGATTTATCGTCTCTGTCACTAATTAATGACATTTCAGTTGTTTTTATCTTTTTAAAAATCTCGTTAAAAATCTATTCTTTCATCTCAATCTTTGATGCAGGTCTTTATTTTTAAGAATGATATTCTTTGTGATCATCAACGCTAGTTATATCAGTTTAACTGCTATAAACATTCTTCCTAGTCTTATTGTCATCCTGGCAATTAAAATCACTTTAACTTGGGAGATTATTATTGATTACTATAGGATTGTTAGTTTTCCAACTGTTTTTGTTCATCTCACAAAATTAATTGAATTAATTGATTGACTGATCAGATTGAGCTTAAGTTACAAGATATAGATCCATGTTATTTCTAGACTTTACTTTACTCTAACTATCCCTTAGGTCTATAATGCCTTGCTTATACTGCTACTAGCAGTCAGTATTGGATTCAATGGTCTCATTCTTCTAACTTTTTTATATTTAAGTTGGCAAGCTATCATTTGGATTAAGATAGCCAGATAGATTATTTCCTTAACTTTAGCTATGATAAAGTTGGATTTCATTTTGATCTGCACTTTGCTATAATACAAAAAACTGCTACGCTTAGCCATTAACCTAACTATTAATGGGCTAATTGATAAAATTTTGATACTATTGTTGAGTATTATTCCCATTATCACTTTGGTGATTGTTATACTAAGATTTGTATTTTTATTCTATAATGTCAATTATTTGATAGATCAATTCCCTGTCAAGAGTCGATTACTTTTACTTATTTTCGATGTCTTGTTAAGAAACAAAGTTCTAGTTTTCATGTATGTGTCTGTCACATTCAATCAGTAAATCTAGGAAGAGTGGATTGGCACTTAGACTCTCTTCAAGTTCATCTTTATGATTACTGGCCTAATCAATAATTTCAGTCATAGATTTATTATCTTTGATTGAATTCAAACCTGAAATCAAACTACTTTAACTGTTTCTCTTCTGCTTTATTTTCTCCATTATTCTATCTTCTTCAAGCATTTTCAGTGAGTTCTTTAAAGTCACTATCTCTCTATCCCTTTGATTCAGTATATCACCTAACTCTGCAATTTAGCCTTTAAGTCTTTTGATTTTATCTTGATTAGTGTGATCTTACTATGACTTAATTTATTTATCAAACTGCTGACTTTTAATAAAATCTATCTACGTGTTATTCTATGATGTAATCTAGCATTGTATCAGTTAATTCCTAGTCTTTTTATAAAGACTCTTATAGTACTTCTTCCTTTGCATTAGTTTATTATCACGAAGCATCATACTTCTCAAATGAATCGAAAATAACTAAATCAGGTAGTCTAACTCAATTTAAACTGAGTTCATGTCGTCATATATTCTTTGTTATTTCTAAAAGATAGGTCACAATTTTATATAATTTTAGTTGAAAATTATTATAATTTATAAAACTTACCTCAATGTAAGAAGGTGGAATTCTTTACGAATAGCTTGGAAGATTTTAAGATGAACTTAACAGTTACCAAAAAGAGTCTTTAATGTGGCTTAAATTTTAAAGTTTTTTTGTGATTTATGAAAACAGATCTTGATGCGTCTATTAGTATGAGTCATTGTTGTCTCTGACTGTATCGATTGAGGTCATAACGTTAGAATTCATATTAGAAATTATTATTTTTTAATTGCCCTTTGGCGAGTAATTGTTAGAATATAGCTTAATGTTTTTATTTACAATTTTGTTATCTTTAAGTGTTTTTGCGCTATCTTCTCGGATATAATTATATACCTTCTTTGGCCTGTCTTCTTAAAAAGGTCCTAGAAATTCATTATCATAAGGTTAATATGTGAGAAAGTTCCTTTGAGAAGTTAAAGCACCAGCGTTCTTATATTTATTTTCAGTCTTCATTTGCAAAGGTACATTCTATATGTATGAATCAATCGAGCTCTCATTCTTTCTTTTCTTTGATTAGTGTTTCTTGTAGTTCATGATCTTTGGAGTGAAAATAAAATCATCTTTGCTTGCAGATGCATCATAGATACTGCTTATAGTCTGTCTTTGATAGTTATTGTGAACGGAGGATTTGTCTGGCTCTTAGATACTCGAAAAATGCTACGAATTACGATTGTTTTGATATGATTATGTCTCCCTGAATATACTCTATTTCAAATTGTTTCTTGAGTGATCTCTTTAATAAGGAATTCTAAGCATTGAATCCTGATTTTAGTCTATATTTGTATAAGAGTTCTTGATGATATTAAGAGAACTGCGGTTATTCTTCTAAGTTATATCATTATCAGCTATATAGGTTTTGGTCCTATACTGATGCATCTTAGGAGTCCTCTCTTTCGTGTAAGAACTGAGATGATTTTCCTGTGATTTCATATTTTTATTTTAATAACAACTTAATTAAATTTAGTTTTATCTCGATTAAAGTCAAAATGCTTTTATACGGGGTTTTGGGGTTTTGGGGTTTTGGGG